ATAAACCATAGTTAAGTAGCCAGAATTCATATTTGGTTAGGGTTCCTTAGAACTGGCCTGCAAAAATGCAGACAGCCACTAGGTGGCTAAATGAGTGAGTTGTGTGAGTATCTGCTGCCGCCTAGTGGGCATTGCAGCCTGGATAAATTAAAACTAGCATGCCATGCAGGGACTGGGGGGGAGAACCTCAAGATGGTGACTAGGATCAAAGTCCCATCCCCATTTTTTGTATGCATCATATATAAAAAAGGAGGCAGAGTTTTGAGTGGATGGGCCCCATCTTGATGTTTTTGACCCTGGTGATGCCACATTATGGCTCAGCGTGTTGTTTTATGACAAAAGGGCATAAGAATTAAGATCCTGAGAAAAGTCTTGCTAGGTCAGATAAAAATCTACTGATCCACCCACCACTTTTTTCATAAGATCCAGTTAAACGTTTCTAAGAAACGGGGCAAGAAGATGGTCACTGGCAGAGTTATGTTGATCCATGTAAACTTCAAAAGACTTTTATAATCTCGATCCTGTCTGAAAGGTAGCCAAGCTGTTCACCGTCACCCTGTCTTGTAGCAGTGAGTTCTGTAAGGCAATAAATGCATCATTTAAAGTCCTAAGTTTAATTTGGTTTGAAAGTCAGGTCAAAGCCCCCTGATATTGTTGTGGGTTATGGGCTAGGGTGTCTTTGGAGGGGGGGATATCTGGGAGCAGAAGCTGTTAGGAGAGAGATGTGTTTGAGGATAGAAATTGAAAATGTAATGAGACAATTCTTTGGGGGCTGGAGATGAGCAAGGCTGAGATTTCCAGTCAGGTAGCATTAGATAACCAGTATTTGCAGATGTTTGTGAGACTGAAAATAAAATAAAATTTATACTAAAACACATACATTTTCCCTGTTTGTCACTGTATGCTGTCTTCTTATTTTCTGAGAACCTTCCTTGTTATTTAAAGCACGTTGTTTTCACTTTTCTTGTTGACATTGGTGAAATGTCATAATCACAGGGCCATTTTTTGATGGCGTTACTTGTGTTTAAGTAATCTTTTAAAACATTTTTGCCTAGCTACGTTGATAATGAAAAATTATTTGATAGACAAGTTTTGGCAGCAGTGGTGGAATACAAGATGAAAAGCAGAAAAAGAGATTTCCGCATTTTTTACGATAGTTGTGTTTTTAGAGTAATTTTACTGTTGAATTTGGTGAGCCACCCAGAGTCATAATAGATTGGGGTGACCTATAAAAAAATGAATGAATGAATGAATGAATGAATGAATGAATGAATGAATGAATGAATGAATGAATGAGGTACTTGGGGAAGGAATAGGGAAATTGGGAGCAGGCAGAGCTGCTCAACATCTCTGTATCTGCCTTTTCTTAGAATAGGAGGGTGCCCTTCTTGACATGATGGAAGAAAGGGGGCAGGAATGTAGGTCAAGTCTGCAAAAATATCATAAGAACCCATTGTGCCACCTTAACTGAAATTTAAATCTCCAGGGGCAGAAAATTACAACTGAGCGCTGAAAGAGAGGCGATCTCAGAACAACAGACCTTTGAAAATGCTTAGAGAACCAATGAGGCGTTGGAAGATTGGAGAACACATTGGAGAATATAGTTCCCTAGATTCAAAAAGGGAGAAATGAAGGATCTTGGAAATGACAGACCAGTTAGCTTAATGTTCATAGTGGGCAACTACTGGAATAGGCCATCCAATCATATTTCTGTGCACACTTAGAAAAGAAGTCTACCATTATAAGAGTCAAGAGCAAGCATAAAGAGTCACTTTACAGCATCTCTTTTTACAGCAGTGATTATGGCAGTTACTACTTTGATAGACCAAGGGAATGCTGATGTAATGTATCTTGATTTCAGTGAAGTGTTTCTCAGGATATCCACCATAGACTAGCGTGCCTCTGCTCCTACAATCCAAGAAAAAGGTAATTGCAAACCATTTCTGTATCGTCGCCAAGAAAGCTCTGTCTTCTCCAGGAACTGAATTTGACCTTAGGGCACCTTTACTTTCAACTTGCTTGGACGGTGGGGATAAGAAGCAGAAATGCTACAAGGAAGGAAGAGAGACTGGCTGGCCAATCAGGGAATCTGGCCAATTTAACCAGGCGCATCCCCCATCGCCTTCCTCCTCCCCAATCACTTTGCCTTTTCTGTCCTTTTAGAATAGGAGCCTAAAGTGAAGGACTCTTTCCACCAAGATAATCTAAGCTCTTTTGAAGCTCTCCTTTCCCTCCCTCCCTCCCTTCTTTTCTCCCCCCACCCTTTGAAATGCACATAATGGGTTTTTACAGCTATAGTTTTCAGTCCCACTGATTTCACTGGACATGTAAGAGGAACCCAGAAGAAGCTCTTCCAAGATTGGTTTAATCTAGAGGGGCTGTTTAAATTCTGGCAAGATATGAGAAAAGCATTATACTCTTTCACTTACTGGCACTGATCCATTTCTGAAAGTAATATATAAACTATTATGGACTATTCCCCATAGGCTAGCGTCATACATCAAGCTGAATTTTGGTTTATTGAATAAACCACAATTGGTTGGGTCAGGCAGCACAATTAACCAAACCCACGCCATAGGGCCTTAGCGAAGGGGGTGAGCCCAGTCACAATAGGTGAGACTAGATTCACACATCACCCTAATTTTCCTTGATTTTAATTTAGAAAGTTCAATCTAGCTATTGTGGTTTATGATCCATGGTTTATGGATGTCCACTTGATCCTCCACAATGTGAGAACTAGGCCTGTAGTCTTCATGGGCTTGTCTAACCCCCTAACTGATTGATCATGGGCCATCAAATTGTTGTTGACTCTTAGCGACCACATAGATTCTCTCCATGATCTTCTGCCCCCAACCAGGTCCTTCAGCTCTTCCAACAGTGCCCCCATCTCCAGTGTAACTGAGTCCCACCCCCTTGGTGCTGGTCATCCTCTTCTCTTTCCTTCTACCTTTTCCAGCATCAGAGCTTCTCCAGAAAGCTGGGTCTTTGCATAATGGGTCTTTGCATAAATATGATCATTTGAGCCTGGTCTTTTATGCCTTGAGTGAGGATTCTGGGTTGATTTGTTCAATGATCCCTTTGTTTTCTTGGCTGTCCACGGTGTCCTCAGGAGCCTTCTCCAACACCAAGGTCCAGAACTAATCCCGTAATAGAGTTGAGCAAATTGGAGGTCTCCATTTGTCCAGGGAGCAGTGAATTCTGCGACTTAACTGGGTGTGAAACCACCTTCCTTTTGACTAGTTGGAATCTCTTTTTAACTTCCTAATTTGGGTGGCTCTCTTGGGGGTTTTTTTTGGGGGGGGTCTTTTCAGCACATTTTTAACCCCTCTATTGCTTCCTATTCCTTCATTCCTTTTCTTAGCCAAGCTCAATGCCTCAAACACTGTGAGTTTTCCTTCATATTTTGATTGGGCTTGTCTGCTGCTTCCTGAGTTTTAAGGAAAGTCTCAGAGTCGAGTTGGGTGACGGGATGGACATGTCGGAATCTGC